CCATACAGCCCCAAATCCCCGTGCACTCCCAATTCAGGCAGCACCAGCATCGGCAGAAGGCACAGCCAAGCGACCTGGCTAAAGGCTCCTGCAGAGCAGACGCTTGGATCCATGCAGGTGTTCTGGGCGAGGGCTTGAATATCAAGCCACATCTTTTGATTCTGTTTCAGAAATCAAAGTGGCACTGATCATCGGGGGGGAAATATTTAATAAATCCATGCACGGAGCACTTTCTGCCTTTGGTCTTTTTTGATGGCATGTTTACAAAGGACCTGCTGTTGTCCTAGGGCTCTGCACTGCAAAGACCAGAGGCCACCTCATTAGATATATTAATAAACATTGCTAAAGGCTTCTCCCTGCTGGATCACCCAACGCCACTGCCTTTTGTTTCTGTCTGTGTGATGCATCCACCGAAGAGCCTCAAAGAGGGTTGCAGGCAACTGGCTGAGCTAAACCTCACCACTCACCTCTGTGCAAACAGCATTCACTTGCCTTTAAGAATTAAGGAAACTGAGGCACGGAGCTGCAATGATGTCTGCCCACTTGTGCAGGGAGGGAGGCATGAGAAATGAGGAGTGGGGCTGTGCTGTGCCAAATGCTCCAGAGCATCCACCTCTGGACCCGCAGGTGAGGTCGGTCCAGCAGCATCCAGCACCCATTTGCCAGCCCTGCACCCAGGCGCTCCTCTGCCCACCCGCAGGCTCTCCTCCCAGCTGGGTGCCGGCCCCTCACGCGCTCCCACATCCCTTCGCATCGCACGCGGTGAGCTTTCGTCACCAGCTCCAGCGCCGTGTGGTGCCACAGCGGGCAGCAAATCCTCCTGCAGAGACCCCGTCGGACAGATTTCCTTCCAAGGCTTCAGCTCTGACAAACAAGCTCTGACAGGAGACTGTGCCCAAAAGACACATTCCCCTTGTTTGTTTGTCTATTCCAATTCTGAGGGAAACTCTAACACTGGAAACCCCTGGGGTGATGCTAATGATGATCATGTGTGTGATGGCCCCCAGTAAGGTGTCACGGATTGTCCCTTGGGGCCAGCACAGCTAAATCAACCCCTGCCCTCCCCACGCCAGCCTGGGTGACATCCAGGAGCTGCTGGATCTGCTGCACAAGTTATCAGGAGACAGGAGAGTAAATGAAGAAAATAGCTGCTCTTATGCAGCTGATGGGTTGCCTTGAGTTTTGCATCATGGCTGACCTTGAAAGTGCTAATACAGGCAAAGACTTAATGGCTCCGCAGCTGCAAAAATCAG